TCCTGGCACAGCCTGGATGTGTTCAGGCCAGCTGTCGGGGCAGCAGTGTGGGGCAGTCTGTGCCCCATGCCCCCACAGAGCCCCGTGTGCGCCTGCATGAACAGACTGACCATCCAACAGCCTGCACACAGCCCCCGAGCTGCCCCAGGACACACACTGCCCCTACACGCACTGCCAGCTGACACCTGCGCGTCCTTGCACACGCATGTGTGTCCCTGCACAGCCCTCTGCCACCCCACACAGCCCTGTGCACAGCTGCCCCACTGCACTCCCTGCTCTCGTTCCTCAGGACACCCCACACCGGTGTACCCCACAGTGTGTGTACTCTTCAACCCCTGCCCCTTGAGCCACGTCTGTTTGCCAGCAGAGCCCGGAGCTGCCCTGCCCCAGCCCCCTCCTGCCCTGTGTGTGCTGGCCCTGGTGCTCTGGGGCGCTGGGGGACCCTGACTTCTGAGCAGGGGGGACCCTGGGCAGCCCACGGGATCAGCACTGGGCACTGCTGCAAGCGCTTTGGGAAGATACGAGGGACCACAGTGGTGTGTGGTGAGCCCTGTGTGCTCCAAATGATGAGGAATGTAACAAGGGCAAGGAGGATGAGGGTGGTGAGGAAGACGAGGAGGGCGAGGGGGCTTGCAGAGCTCACAGTGGCTTCAGCAGGTGGCGCAGACCAGCAGTGACAGTTCACACCCGTGTTTCCTCCATGGCTGAGGTTCTTATCATTTGTGTTTGCGGGAGATTAACTTGGTCTGGCACCACTTCAGAATGGGGAGGGAGGGCTGGGGGGGCTGATTTTCTGGGAAGCAGCAGCGGCAGGGCAGTGTCTGCTGCATGTGTGTGCATGGGGAGAGCTGCCAAAAACAGAACAAATGGCTGTAAATGCACATGAGCACTCTGGGATGTGGGCTGGGATGTGTTTGAGGATGGAGCACAAGCACTGTGGGTTCACCTGCAGGAGCAGGGGCTGCCACGGTCAGGGACTGCCAGGCCTGTTTGTGAGCAGGCAGGGTCCCTGCCTGCCTCCCCCTGCCTCCTGCCCGCACCTGGACACTCAGGCACCTCTCCTGCAGGATCCCATCTGGTCCCTCTGGTGTCACAGCACAGAGCAAACTCAGGGCTAGTTAGTATCTCGTAGCCCGCCACCTGTGATCACTGATTCTTTTAAAATTCAGGCTCCAAAGTCCTGAAACCAGTGTCCCTACACCGGATTGCAGATTTGCCCATCCCATTCCTACCCTGCCCAGGTCCCAGGGGAAGAGCAGACACCTGGGGCAGGTGTGGAGGTTCTTCCCTGGAAGTTGACTGGGATTTGTGGTTCAGGAACTTCCCTGAACAGTCTTTGTGCTTAATGGTCTGCGGTGGACTTTTTTCACTCCATGAATTCTCAGATTGCTTCTGGAGCTCATTCAAGCACTCAGCTCCCACAGCACCCCTAATAAAGTCCTAAAAAGCCATCTTGATAGATGGAGACAGGCAGGATTTATCCTACACCCCCATCACCCCCCAGGAATCCTTCAGGGGAATGCAAGGATCACATTTGTCTTGGCGCAGCCTTTGCCCTGCTCCCTGGAGGGATGCAGGCACAGCTTCATTCCCTGGGTCCTGCCATCAGCTGCATCCCGTGCTGGGGAGGGTTGGAAGCAAGCAGGGCCTTAGGGAGCACCCAGGGATCCCAGGGCTGGTGCTGCCCTTCCCGTGCCACATCTGTCACACCCGCAGCCCCCTCCCTGCAGCAGGAACACTGCCACACTCCAGCCCACCCCAGCCCCCGGCCCCGGCACAAACGGACGCGTTGCTGCAGCAAAAGAATCTTTTTTTATTGATGGTAAACAGGCACGGCTGACAGCTCATCTGTACTTCTCAGCCAGCACGCTGGCCACGGCCGACATGAACTTGTCGATGGCAGAGTGCACCTCGGGGGTGTACTCCTTACCCAGGCGGGTAGCCAGCGACACCTGCAAGCACTGCGACAGGAACTGCAAGGGAAAACGGGGCTTAGCACCGCCACCACAGCCCGACGTCCCCATCCCAGTCCCTGTCCCACACCCCCTGTACCCCATCCCCTGCTGTCCACCCTGATCCCCCTCCCCCATCTCCTGTCCTCTATCCCCCGGCTCCCATCCCGGTCCCTGTCGCCTATTCCCTGTCCCTCAGTCTCCATTCCCTATCCCCTGCGCCCTGTCCCCCATTCTGATCCCTGTCCCCAAACTCCATCCCCATTCCCTATCCCCATCCCCTGCCTGCCTTGAAGTTGACGGGGTCCACACGCAGGTTGTAGGCGTGCAGGTTGCTGAGCTCAGACAGAGCTGAGCTGAGGTTGTCCATGTTCTTGATGGCATTGCTCAGGGCAGCCACCACTTTCTTGCCATGGCCACGGATCTGGTCAGAGCCTTGTGACAGGTCGAAGTGGGGGAAGTAGGTCTTGGTTGGGGGGTAGGAGTGGAACATCCTGGGGGAGTGGGACAGTCAGTTGTGCTGACCCCAGCCGGACCCACCACACTGGCCCCTCCGTGGGGCTCCCACCCCCTCGTCCCTCTCTCCCATGGGATCCCCAGGCCTGTACCTCCACAGGGCATCGGCTCCGACTTCCTCCTCGGCGCCACCCAGCTTTCCCCAGATCTGCTGGATCAGCTTCTTGTCCTCGGCGGTCAGCATGGTGGCGGCTGGAAGAGTGGGCAGGGGTTGGTGGCAGCAGCACAGCAGGGATGCCTCTTATAGCTGCTGGCACCTCCACCCAGCCTTATCTTATCACACTGAGGGGCGAGGGGATGGCTGGGCCCTGGGAGCGGCTGCAGCACTGCCTTGGGGGCCCCAGATGCCTCGGGGGCCCCTGCCCTAAGGAGGCCCCTGGGGGGCCCAGCTGCCTGTGCTGCCCCACTGCACCAGCCCAGCACCAGAATGGGGCAGGGGGCAGCACCTTACCAGGCTGCCTCTTGGACAGCAGCAGTCCCAGGCATGTCCCATGGGTGCCACAGCCTTGACCACACTGGCTGGCATGTCCCCAAACCTGCTGTTGTGATTCATCATTCTCCATGCATGGGCCAGGGTCCTCCTTGGCTCTGAGGTGTTGAAGTAGGTCCCACAAGTGTCCCATGTTCCCTCCAGACTTGGCACATCCAGCCCCTCTCTGCCCCAAGAGCCCCATGGCCTCTGAGTAGGAGCCATGGACAAGGCCTCCTGGAGAAATCCAGGCAGGGGACAACCTCCTCTTTGGGTTCACGGTCTTCCCAAAGTCCATCCTGCGATACTTGTCAGTCTTTGACTCCTTCCCTTCTTCCCACCCCAATGTGCGCTCCTGCCTCTCCCATAAATGCTGGGAAATCCCTCAGGCCCCATGGTGTCTGGTCATACAATAACAGAATTTTAGAATAATCAAATTATTAATGTTGGAAAAGGATCCTCTTAATGGATCCTTAAGGATCCATTATCATTAGTAGGATCCTCCTTAAAGGATCCTATTAATGTTGTCTAGGATCCTTGAGACCAACCATTCCTCCAGCACTGCCAAGGCCAACACTAAACCAGCTCCCCAGGAGCCACATCTACACATCTGCTAAATCCCTCCAGGGACTCCACCACTGCCCTGGACAGCCTGTGCCAGTGCCTGACAAGGCTTTCAGTGAAGAAATGTTTCCTAATATCCAACCTAAGCCTCTCCTGGGACAACTTGAGGCCATTTCCTCTGACTCTCACATCCTTCTCTCAGCCTCTGCAGGAAGGGTTTGGTGCAAACATGGGGTAAGGGACACGCCAGATGCTGACCTAGCACATAAGTCATGGATTTAAACCTCCAGGTTACCTGACACCAATGGATGCAGAATGCTTTAAAGGCTGCTGTGGTGACATTTAGATGTTTAGAGCCATTTGATGGCCTGAGAGCTTCCACATCACCTTTCTCCCCCTTGTCCAAACACAGTCCCTAGATTCCATGGATGAGGCGAGGAACTGCCACTTGCAGTGCTGGTTCAGGGAGCCATCAGAGCAGGCTGAAGGCTTTGCACCCTCTGTTTCATGCCAGAAGTCTCTGGAACAGGAGCTGACATGGTCCTGTGCTTCATGTTTTTGGCCAAACTGCCCCAGTAGAAGGCGGATGTTCCAGATTTTGTTGAGCAGCATTTGCACAGCATCAAGACTGTCTCTGCTTCTCACTCTGCCCCCACCCAGGGAACAGATTTTGAGGTGCTGGGAGAGGACACAGCCAGGGCAGATAGGCCCAACTAATCAAAGAGGTATTTCATGCCATATAACACCATGCTCAGCAATCAAAGGGAAAAGAAGGGCTGTGAGGGAGTTTTAGGGGTTATTTATGGTTTTTGCTCATGAACTGGCTGAACATCAGCCTACCCATGGGATGTGGTGAGTGATTGCCTTTGCATCCCCTGTTTTGTTTTCTTGCCTGTGCTGCCACTTAGTCTTCACTTACTAAACAATTATTTCTGTTTGTTTGATCTTGACCCTCAATTGTTCTTGCTTTTATCTTCCTTTGCCCTTCACCTTATCCCATTGTGGGGGGGAGATGAGTGAGCAGCTGGGGTGCAGTGGCTGCACAGTGGGGTTAACCCACAGAAGAAGCACATCATATACCACATCCCTACCCCATGGAGAGAGGCACAATGAGAGGACAATGCCCTGCATTGCAATGCAGGTTTGGTTCCCAACAGGCTGGGATGGGTTTTGAATAGGTCCTAGCAGGGTAAAAGACTCTTTCCTGGTCAGCCTGGAGAAAGGCTGTGGTGGATATACCTTGGCGAGCAGCTGCAGTCACAGGGCTCCAGCCCATTCTGGGCTTCTGCTCAATGCTGTGTTGCTCCCACTGAATGTTATGTTATCCCCACTGAATTGGCACATGAATTAGTATGAGTTCATTAGTATATGAACTAGTACATGAGTTTATAAAGTTTAATATTTCCCTGTCCATATTGTGTAGACATTTCAGAACACCCCTGCCTGAGCAGTCAGGTGTGGGCAGAGCACACCAAGAGGAAAGCACAGAGACCATAGCTCACATTTGAATTATTTATTGGGTTTTGCAGATGACCGAGCCCCTGCAGCAGGGATTGAAAGAGCTGCCCAGGAAGGGGTGGTATCCCAGAGCCTGGCAGTAGGGCTGCGCTGTGGATGGGCCTCCCTCACCCTCTGTTGAGGTCATTTATCTGTACTTCTCCGTCAGAACAGAGGAAATACTGGACAGCAACTTGTCCCATGCAGCATGAACTTCTGGGGTGAAGTCACGGGGATAGTGGGCAGCCACGGAGCACAGGATACAGTGGGAAAGCAGCTGTAAGGGAAAGCAGCATGAAATCCATCACAGTGAGTACCAGGTATCAGGGTAGGGGTCTGCAGTGGACCTTGGGCCCAGTGTGCTTGGGGATGACAGCTATGTGTCCCAAACAGGAAGTGCTGCTGCCTGAGATGGGAGTGAAAAAGCAGCTGTCTTTTTTATAGGGCAAAAGGCACTGTTTGATCCCACTCCCTCTTCCACGTGTCCTTTCCCTCCTCAAGTTCAACAAAGTGGGAATGCTTATAATTTATTAAAACTTTGTTCAAGACAAGTGATGTAGCTTGATGTGTGAAGCAGATTCATGAATTACACCAAATCCAGCAGAGATTTGAGTCTGTCTAACACAAACCACAGGAGCTCCCTGAGGAGTTCTTTGCCTGCACTGGGCCAGAACTTCCATTAAAAGACCCAATCTCAGGTTAAAAATCATGTGAGAAACTGTCTGTGCAGCACAGTCAGGGATCGAGCTGCCATTAGCCCACATGACCCGTGGTCTCTAATTCTGTGGTGGCAGTTTCCATCCCTGAAAGTCTCTGTGCTCACTCACCTTGAAGTTCACGGGGTCCACCCTGAGGATGTAAGCATGCAGCTCGCTGAGCTTGGCCAAAGCCTTGCGGATGTCATCGATGTGCTTCACAGCTTCCCCGATGGCACTCATGACCTTGGAGCCGTGGCCACGGAGCTGAGCTGAGCCTTGGCTCAGATCAAAGTGAGGGAAGTAGGTTTTCGTCTGGGGGTAGCTGAAGAAAAGCCTGGAGGAGAACATGAGGAAGAGGGTCAGCAGTAGAAATGGTATGAGGTGGTAAAACCTCAGAACAAGTGCAGTGTAAACCTTCTGCAGGACATGCAGATTAGACAGCAGGTTTATCTGTATGTACTAGAGAAGAATTAAGTGTTAAAAATTATTAAAAACTTAATGTAGTTTTGGGTTTGATTTTGTTTGGTTTTGTTTCTAATAAATAAAAGCCCCAGCTTGTCACCAAATTTCCTGTATTATATTATAATGAAGTTTCCAGGACCTTCAAATGAAAATGAAAAAATAAGAATTTATATGAATGGTATTCAGAATCCTGAAAGGGGTATCACAGTACTTTATACTGAGCTGTAAATAGCATTTAAATCACTTTGAATAACATAAAAATTTCTGATAATTTCCAGATCCTTTTATGCTTGCTTAATTGGTATGGACTTTGAATTACTGTGCCATACTTCATGCAGGGGTCCAGCTGTCTTGTTTCCTAACAGTTTGTTACTTAACCACTGGAACAATGAAACCTGAGCATCCAGTGAATTTAGTGGACAGCTATTCTCTTAATGCATAAAAACTGTAAGAGAAAGTGCATCACTTGTACAATAAACCACTTCAAGTTTATCCCCTGACAGGGATAATGGTGTTTAGGACACTGAGTATGAATGACTTTGAATTCCTCACCAGTGCTTCTGGCTATGAATTCTTCTGTATGGCTATAAGGAGAAAAAATCCCCTACTAAATTGTTTAAAAAATCATGGTTTACTGCTAGATTGTGAAGTGTTTAGTAGCACAGATATAACTCCTGAAGATTACATATCAAATAGCACAACTCTTCATCAAGCCTCCCTGGTCCCAGCCTTCTCACCCAAGTTCTACATGAGATGCATCCCAGCAGCAAAGCCTCTTTGGAGGCCTGCTGGGGCCTTACCTCTCCAGTGATTCTGCCCCAATGGCATCAGCCTGGGTGGCCACCTTGGCCCAGATGGTGACCACGGCGGCTTTCTCGGCTTGGGTCAGCGTCATTGTGCAGGAGGTGCTGGCTCTGCCCCCTTGCAGTGACCGCTCAGAGCAGGTTGGACTCACCACCCTGGCAACCCTGGTTATAAAGGGAATGGGAGGAGAGGACCTTGGTGCCTGTCCACACTCATTGGTCATTCCAGAGGCCCACTGTGGAGTGGGGGACACTTATCTCCCGAGAAGCAATAGCTACCTTGGCGAGGGTCAGCACACTGTCCTCCTTGCCTGCGGGCCTTATCAGCTTCTTGCTTCTTAACCTGACGGCTGTGTGCTCCAAAGAAATTGTCTGGACAAGTATTGATACATGAACAGAGAGATAATGCCGCAAAATTCCACTGATGAAGCATTAGGACACATCTCTAAGCTGAGGAGCGTGTGGACTCCAGCGCGCTAAGGAGCCTGGAGAGGAATCTGCATTTCCTCCCTTGGGTCACAGATGTGAGCACAAGGCTCTGGGCCCTCCTGACCCAGACACTTCCAGCATATGTGGCTGCAACTTGGGCAACATTTCACATAAAATGCTTTGTAGGTAGTGGTAGGGACAGGCTGGGAGATCTGCAGTGCAGTTCAGAGGAGAAATAAAATCCCGATTTTTTTAGAGTAAGTGCAGATTTTGCCATTTGCTTCAGGACTTCACTTTGCCAGCCTCTTTCAAAAAATTAGGGACTCACTTTACAATTGCTGCCTGTGATAACATTGGTAGTAAGGATTACTTTGGATACAGGAATAGAGAGTTTGTGAAATTGAGTATGGTGCTGGAAAAAAGTGTGTGTGTGAGAAAACCCAGTCAGATTTCTTTTTTTATAATTGTCAGACTGCACACCTTTGCTTTCTAACCGTGTGTGATCTTACTGTTAGCTGTTGCCTGCACTGTAAAATATCCCTCAGCACTCCAGTTAGTGCTGGCTGTGTTGTGCTGTGTGCTGGACATGCACAAGAGCTCCTAGTCCCACAGCAGATGGTTGGTACCATCAGGGCATGGGCCCTGGCTGGGTGAAGGACCAAACAAGCAAAACAAAGACCAGCACAGGTCTGTAACCTGTGGGCAAAAACCTGTAAGATAAGTGGGAAAAGTGTCAAAGAAATACCCTACTGGAGATGGTTGCTGGAGAACCTCTGGCAGTAAATATCCTGCCAGCACGTAAAGCAGAGGTAAATCTCTTTGCCACGCTGATAAACTCCAGCAGCCTCAGACATCAGACACTGCTGAGAGCTGGCAGCTGTGCAAAGAGCACTGGCTGGTACAGTCAGAGGGGTCAGATAACGTTCTCTGCCCAAGCAGCCCTGCACACTTGTGTGGAGAAGGTTGGTGTGTCTCAGCCAGAGATGTGTCTGCATTTGACAGCACTACCCTCTGCCACAGAGGGTGTTCGCCAGCCATGGTCATCCTGCTGAAGGGAAAGCCCTTCTAGGGATAATGATCCCTGGGTAGTGCATGGACTGGGGCACCTGTGCCAAAGCACAGGTGTCACACAGGAGCGTGCACTGGAGCCCCTCAGGAGCCACGGGGAGCTGTGCTGTGCTGCTGGAAAGGTGTGAGGTGGCACCTGTGTGTGTGTGTGTATGGCAGGGATCTCTTCTGTGCTGTCACATGGGCATAGGTCTCTCCTCTCTGGATAGCCTCCATAGCCTGGAGGAGTTGATCCATGTGCTACAAAGAGACACCACTCTCCTGGGGCTGTGCCTCTGCCACTGCATCCTGGGCTCAGGTGGGAATGAACCAGCGGTAGGGTCAGAACAAGGGATGGGCTCAGACAGCAACTTCTGTATCCTCTGGTGCCCCCACTTTGCTGGGGCAAGTGGCACTTGCAGAAGGACTCTGACCCACCCCTTGTACTCTGCACTGGGCTCTAATTTAAGCTTCTCTGAATGCCATCTGTCACAAATTAGAATAAACCTTGGGCTTTCCCAAAAGGCAGGCACAAAGCACTTGGGGCCTCTGAGTCTGCAAGGCTGGCTGCATTTGGGGATCTTGAATTATCATTCCCTTCATGGAGGCCAACAACTCCTCTGGGATTTAATTTCAGATTGTGTTCAGTGCCACAGCTCCTCCTCAGTCCTTCTGACCATGGGCTGGGTAATTCACTCACTTTAAGAGGGAATATAAAAGTGGACTCATCTGAGACACAATGAGGACAACTGTTTTACCACAGGGAATATTATCAGAGGACTCTTTGTGTATCTTCCCTTTGATAGTGCCATACACATCCCCTGAAAACCCAGAGCTCACTCTGGCTACACAGGTGCACAGCAGTGCAGTCTCCAGGTCAAAGTGCCACTGACAGCACAGGCAGAGCCAGGCAAGGACAGCATGGTATTCCGTTTATACAACTTCAATGCATGGCAGTACCAAGAGAGGCTGTATTCATCATCCCTTGCTACACACATTTCCAAAACCTGCAGTCTTCCCATAGAAAATTTACTTTGAAAATATAGATGCTGTTGTGAAATATCCATTTACATAATGTTTTTGTCTCCTCCCCAAAGTGCTGCCTCTTATATGTTACATGGCAGTGCTCCAAGCTCTCCTCAGTGAGAGCGCTTTTAATCAGGGGTTACTCAACCAAGCTGTGACCCAGATAAACACAGGGATAAGGCACAAAGCATCAGGACTCCTTCCTATTCTGTGTAACCTGGGAATTGCTCCTCTGTTTGGATTAAGGTTTGTGTGCACACAGAGTGATGTCTGCACAGGAGGATTCATCATCACTGAAATCATTATGGAATTTGAATTATTTTTCTGAGAGTTATTCCTGCACTATCTCAAGTGCCAGAGCAGCCAAAATGAGACAGTGGTTTGTTAGAAGGACTCATTGCTCACTCAGGATCAGGGCTGTGCTGGGGATTGCTGTGGGAACAAGCCTGGTGGGAGAAATCTGCTCCTCAACACAACGTGACATGGAAAATGACCCAGCTTTGCATGAACCTCTCAGCCAAATTCCTCATTCCAGTGCTCCAGCTACCAGCTGCTCCAGCTATGGGGTCCTGGCCTCAGGAGTGCAAAGAACTGGACAACATGATTGCTGCTGTTCCTCTGTCACAGGGCCACTAGTGAAGACATGTCCTCTGGGAAACCCCACCAAACCTGCCTTCCTCTCTTGCTGCTGCTTCTCATGATGATCCACAGCTCCACTGCAGAATGTCAACCTTTGGGCAGGTCATGAATCTTTGTCAGGAAATCACCAAAGGGGATTAAAAAAAAATAAATTAATGTAGGTCTTTTTAAATCCAAAATCTGTTCCAAAAGCCAGTTACCAGAGTTTCTAATTTTAAACAGCAGAAGCAAGCAACAGACTTATTAGCTAATTGTAAAAGTGGGATTCTAATTTCCAACAGCCCTGATTGTAAATCCAATTGAATGGCATCACTGTGAGATCAGGGATAACTTTCCCCATGGGCCTGTATTATCCACAGGAATTGCCTTCCCCTCAAGGAGAATGCTGTGGATAAGCGGGGGGACATATATCTGCTCTAACTCTGAAATATTTGAGGCATATTACATTTTGAAAGTCTGGAAAGTGGAGCCTAAATCCTGGCTTTACTCTTTAATTTCCTACCAGGGCTTGAAGAACTTGCAATCATTGCTTTAAATGACAAGGCGAACTACAAGTAAATGTCTAAGAGCTGGAAATGACAGATAGGCCTACAATTTATTATTTGAGAAAGTGAAATTATATTTTGAAGCAGACACACTGAAATTTTAACATGACAGCCCAGTGCTGGTGTACAAGGAGTGCTCTGCTGTGATAACACGACTGGTCTTTAATCACCCCAGGACAACTCTCTCCCCTCAGCATTGCCTTCTCTTGCTCAATTGTTATCGCTGGCCTTGTGCAGAATGGCCCTGCAGATTATACCCTGCTGGGCTGCTCACCTCCCTCTTCAGCCACCCATCTCTGTCCTGTGTCCCTGGGGCGACTGCAGAGCAAAACCCAGAGTGGGGATATCTCAGAGTGTCCGAGCATCTAAGTAATGCAATGAAACACAGAAGAATTTGCATAAAACCCCAGGGCATCCTCACATATAATTGCTGATAACTTCTGATTTTGGTTAAACACAAAAACAAAAAAAAATGAAGGCACCAAGACTGCTGCCAGGGGAGTAATGTCACCCTTCCTAATGCAGAGGCAGGAGTAAAAGCAGAGGAGCCATGAGGCAGGGTGTATCAGAGCTGTGAACATGAGCAACAAGCCCAAGCCAGCCTTTCCATGAGCACGGGGAGCCCACAGGTCTGACTTCCACCGCTGCCCCCCTGCAGGCACCCTGGTGTCGTTAAGGTTGGAAAAGCCCTCTGCAACCATTCATCTGCAATATTGACACACTGGATTTGGCAGCTCTGATGGAGGCAATCTACTGCCAGACAGTGGAAGAATGGAGAGGGACTGGAAGGGAAAACAGAGGGATTCTCCACCTGCAAATCCACCCTCAGTGGCACCCAGACTGGCACAGGGAGGGTGGAGATGAACACTCAGCTCCTGCATCCCATCTTTTCTCTGTGGCAAACCCAGGAGACATCATCAGTTCCTCTCCCATTAGGGAAAAAGCATTCATGGCCTCATTCTAACCCACAACAAATTACCTTTGTTCTCCCAATTAATTTACCCTTCTACTAAGTGTGCAGCACATGTGCAATTAGCTCCAGAAAGGCAGAAATGTTATTTCAAAAAGCTGTTTTAAATGTCCCAAAGAGGCATTGCAGCAGGCTTTAGCCAGTGTTCCTTTATTTCCACTCCCACTCTAATTACCAATGAGCCTCCTTATTTAACACTGTCTTATGGAGCTCTTCTTTTCTTCCCAGTTGCTACTAGAAAGTCGCTGATGTGGAAAAAAAAAAAAAAAAAAAAAGAGGGAAAGTGTCACGAGAAGAGTCATGGCAGAGTGAGTGCACTTTGAAAAATCCCTATTCACACACACTCTCCAAGGTGTTAGGTTAAACCAGCACTGTCAAACCACCACTAAACCATGTCCCAAAGTGCCACACCCACGTGTTCTTTGAAGACTTCCAGGGGCTGTGATTCCACCATTGCCCTGGGCAGTGCCAGTGCATGCCCACTCTGCCATGAGGATGATAACCCGGGGGGCTCTGGGCATGGGGGACATGATGAGCCCTCACTGCTTTTTGTTACCAGCTCTCAGGAAAGTTCTGGAGTTAATGACTGAACCGTGTGAAAGCCCACAAATGACCCAAAGTGGCCAAATAACAGCATTGTGTGGTCCAGGATCCAGCAGCCCCTGTGGAGGGATCTGGGGCTGGGGCCACCATGCACTGTCTGGGTACGGGGCTGAACTGGGGGTGCTGGGCCATGCTGGGGCCACTGGGCTGAGCTGGAAGGTGCTGGCTGCAGGCATGTGAAGCACTGGAATAAACTGGGAGTGTGTGGAACAGGGAGTGGTGTCCATGGCACACTGGGATGGTTGAGACAAAGTGTCAGGTGCTGGCCTGAGCTGGGGGCACTGGGCTGTACTGGGAACAGGGCTGTGTGTGAATTGGTGCTCTGAGCTGGGGGCACTGGGCTGTACCGGGAACAGGGCTGTGTGTGAATTGGTGCTCTGAGCTGGGGGCACTGGGCTGTACCGGGAACAGGGCTGTGTGTGAATTGGTGCTCTGAGCTGGGGGCACTGGGCTGTACTGGGAACAGGGCTGTGTGTGAGGTGCTGTCATAACTGGGGATGTGGCTGCGGGTATGAACCTGCAGAGGTGCTGGTATGAACTGGGAGCAACTGGGCTGTACTGGGAACGAGCTGTGTGGCCGTGAGATGCTGGTCAGAAGTGAGGGTACTTGCCTGTATTGGGGATGGGGCTGTGTGTGATGTGCTGGTCGGAACTGGGAATAC